GGCCGGGAGGGCGGGGCGGGCCTGGCCTCGCCTCCCTCACTCCCCCGAGCCCGCCCGGGCCGCGGCCCGCCGCCAGCCGCCTGCCCCTCCTCCGGGCCGGCTGGGGCCCCGCTCTGGCCCCTCGCCCGGCGAGCGCTGCGCTAGGCCTCCCAGCGACTTTGCCGCTGTTGCTGTTCCTCCTCGCGCAGCCCGGCCATGGGGCTCGCCCCCCACCCCTCGCCCGCAAGTCCCCACGCCGCGGAGCCTGTGAAGTTTCTGGCCCGGTCCACAGAACCCTGCAGCCTCCCAGCCCCCTGCTGCATAAACACACCGCCTTCCTGCCTCCACCCGCAGAGACGTCCTCCTGCACACAGACCCGTATTGTACCGTTTTCCTACACCTCTTCATTCATTACTTCCCCGTAATCGGAACGTTGGAGGGACCCACGAGCTCACCCGACCCAGCACCCTTCCTTTTCTCATACTTTGAAGGCGGGGAAACGAGGTTCTAAAAGGTGAACGGATTTCCTAGACCTGGAACTAAGACCAGACCTCCTGTTGCCAGGGCCCTCTCTCTACCCAGATCCTTTCCTGCAATTCAGGGTCAAACTGACTACCCTGAACCGGTAGTTCCAGCCTTGGTTATCACTTAAACACCGTCCAGATCTTAACCCCCCGGGAAGGTGTATCTGCCCTCTACCTTCTGTCTGTCTCAGGGTAGCTCCAAGAAATAGATCAGAGCTGGCAGAAAAGAAAACCTTTACCAAGAGGCAGTTACACCTAGAGGCTGGGAAAGTGGAAGTGGAGCCTGGTGGCCAGAATTCGCGTTCTAGCCCTGCCACCTACTAGGTATCCTGGGCAAGTCATTTGACTTCTCGCTGCCTCCAGTTCCTCCTTTGTAAATCGAGGATAATGACACTACCTGCCTCGCAGAGACGTTGTGAGGATTAAATGAGTGAATATAAGTAAAGTGGTTAAGACAATCGACATATATTAAAGCCATCAAAAAAATCACTCTGGGCTAGCCACCATGTTGGGTTTCTCTATGTCCTATCCCTCTTTCCTGATGCCTCCCTCCCTATATTGCAGCCAGATTAATCTATCAGGCCAGGCTCAGCTTTAGAAGACTGGCTTCAGGCTCCAGCAGATAGGGACTGGAAGGGCAGAGGCAGGGGAGCCATGCTGGCTGGGGCCTCCCCAGGTTGACTGCAGCACAGCTGACTTCTAAGCCAAGTGGAACAGGTTGTGTGCAGAGTGAGGACGGAGGCAGGGAGCTTCTAGCAATGCCCTTCCAGGCTGTGCATGGTGGGGGATCGTACAGGGAGACAGGTGGGATTCAGAGATGAGATCCAAACAGTGCAGTGGGGAGACAAAAGCCGCTACCAGCCAGAATGTCAGACAGATACTCCACCAGTTCCTGACCTTCTAGCTCCTGACGCCTCACTGAATAAATTCCACAAGTGAGTACCTGCATCTGGTCCTCCCTTGAAAGTTTCCTGAGAGTAAGCTCTGTGCTTTGTTCTCTTTTTTTATCTTTTAGCACCCAGCTCAGTGCTTTGGGAATAAGTGATCAACAAATGTTTGAATGTTGTTTTTTTTAAATGAAATTATAATATACATGTCACTGAGCTGGCCTTGTGCAGAAGGTCTTCATTTTAAGAAAAAGGATCTCAGAGTTTCCCTATCCAACCCCCTTCACGTCAGAGTTAATTTGCCCTGGGGTTAAACAGCGAGTTAGAAACAGAAGCCAAGTCTCTGCTTTCGGTCTGATGTTATTTCCATGACATTGCACTGAACTTACAACGCAATTGGAAGGAAAACAACCTCCCTAAGAACTACAGAACAAAATAAGGCAGTGTGTGGTTAAGGTCTGAATGCAGGGTACAAATGGGGGAGTGGTAGAAGCTGAGAGGGCTAGAATCCCCAGGGCCTGGGATCAGGAAGAATAATGCTCACTGCAGGAGAGGGCTTGAACTCGTCCTAAGGATGGGCAGGATTCAGGACTGTGGAAAGGAGACACAATTCCTGGCCTTCCCTGAGGCCAGGGTAGATATTTAAAGGTCAGTGAAGAAACCAGTCTGGTTAGAAGAGAGGTTTGGGTTGGGTTGTACTAGGGAAAAAAACAAAATGTTAAGAGGGTTAAGCTGAGATCTGGGGAAATTTCAAATACCAGGATACCTTAGTCTGTGGATAATTGGGAACCCCTGAAAATAGACACTGAGCTAGGCGCTGCACCAAGACAAGACACCAGGCAAATATCTGCCAACTTGGTCTGATTTGCATCTTTTGTAGACAGTTGCTGGCCATATATGTGCATTAACTTAATTTACCCACACACGAAGGAAACTCTACCAACCAGCTTGTCTATATTTACTTTGTCTCCAAATACATATGATATCTGTGTGGGAGCAGAGGAAAGAGAGGGAGATTGAAAGAGCTGTGTGCCTGCCCTAGACCAGGCACTTTCATCTGTGATATCTCATGTAACCCTCAGTCTTGTGGGCTGTGGGTTTCATTCCTCCAGGAACACCAGAGATGGTAAGTGACTTGCCCAGATCACAGAGCCAGGAAGTGGTGAAGCCGGAATTCAGACTCAGCTTCGATGCCGAAGCCCTTTCCAATGAGAAGATACAGGAATTGTGTTCCCACTCTCAGGTTCCTTCTTTAAGTCAAGTGTGGAGATGACCAGCTAGGCTCACATTTCCAGGAGTGCTTTCTCATCCCTGGTTTTCTGTTCTTATCTTTAGAAGGAAATTTCCGTTTTGTGTCTTTAGAGGCAGACAAAGCTGATTCCATTCCACCCCTTACTAGGTGGTGACCGAGGCAGACTTGCTGTGAAGCTAATGAATCTTAAGCACCAGGACCCCTCCTTGCATAAGCTCCTGGGAATCCCTCTGCCCAACTGTGAATCCCTAATTGTGCATTATTGTCTGTAGAGGGTTCCAACAATTGTATAAGCTTCAGGTTCCATAAAACCTGGATTTGCCCCATCTGGATGACCTTCATCAAGTTACTTTCTCAGACTTAATTTCCTTGTCTGAATAAAATCATCCTAGACTCTGGCCTACCAGCTAAATGTCCAGTTGACACATAGTACCAGAGGTACTGAAATAACTTAAAGAGCCTGATCTCACCTGGCCTTACACCTAAGGCCAAGGTTCACAGAGAACCCAGGCCAAAAGAAATACCTACTGGGTCCATTTATCAAGCAGTTAGGCACAAACAAAAATTTAGTAAGTATTTATGTTCTAACAAGTTAGTGGTTATTGGCAAAAATGATGCACGCTGAGGAGAGGGTATACAGCTCAGTGGTAGAGTGTGTGCTTAGCATGCATGAGGTTCTGGGTTCAATCCCCAGTACCTCCATTTAAAATAATAATAATAAATACAAATAAATAAATGAACCCGATTACCTCCCCCCTCAAAAGTAATGCACATAAATTGAAAGAAACTGACATTTTTATATTATTCTTAAATAACTACAATGACTTTCTAGTGAAGTGCACTGCAAACTTCTCAAACCTTGGAATCAGATTGTCCACAGCCACCCTCATTTCTTTTTCCCCACCAATCGTCTCTTTAACACAGCATCCACGAGAAACCCAACTCCCTAAAGACAGGATGGCACTGAAAGGAATGTAATGCAATTTTATGTTGAAATTGTGGATTTCCTTTAACTAGTAATGCATGCAATGTGTAACCAATGTTACACAGCACTGTGTTTCCTTTAACAATTTAAAATATCCCAAGGTGCCCCGGTGAATTTTCTGCAGCACCCTGGGGTGACATGGCACACCATTTGGGAACCATAGGATTAAGGACCATGTTAGAGACTATTTCAGGAAGCAATCAGAGGGCAGAAGAGTTCTCTCGCGTAGAACAGAAGAGAGAACCACGAGTACCCTTGTTCAAGGTCCGCCAGAGTGTTATCACTCAGCCAATCCCAGGATATCCTCCAGAAGTTGCTCTTCCTGCTGGATCTCCACTCTTGGCTGTGGCGATTTACATGACATTAACAATGCAGGGGAGAATGGTGGTTTGTTGGGAGGCCTGGGCTCCAGTTCCAGATCTGCCACTCGGGAGGTCCAACACCTTGACCATCACTTCCTCTTTCCAAAGTCTCTTCCAGCTTTAAATATGTGTGAATCTATGAATCTACCCTCAAGCTTTCTCCTGAGAGGCCCAAGTTTTTGATGAACTTGATTTTTAAGTTGGCCTCATAAGAGTAGGAAGGAAAGAAAGAGTTCTTCTACTGGACACATTCTATGTGCTAGGAAGCTGGGGAATGTGCCATCTTTAAATCAAATAATCCATTTTCACATCAGGCAAGTTTATGAAAAGACAGAAGAAAGAACAACAAAAAGCTCTGTGCAGGGGGGCTTGTGGAGTGATGGAAGTGGGTCTGAATGCAAGTATCTGGGTGTGTTCCAATTGGGAAAACACATCAAAATGTACACTTTTGATATTTACATCTCTCTCTCTCTCTATATATATATATATATATTATACTTACAAAAAGAGAGGAAAGCAAATTGAAGAATTATATAAATTGCACAAAAATACAACAAAAATGATGCTATTAAAATTAAAAAAACAAGAAACAAACCCTAACAATGAATTGTAAAGCTGTCAGTATGCTGTATGTTTGTGGTAAGGTATTAAAATCAATTTTCAGTCATTTGAAAAACAAAATAAAAGAAAGCTCTTGCCAGCTCTAAGGAAGCTTTAAGACTTGGGCCAAGAGGACGGAGGTGCCATTCCTTCTGTTTACGCTATGGTAGGATTTTTGACAGGTTCTCCTTGGTACCTGCTCTTCTCCCTGTGACACTGGGAGGGTCAGACGCTTGGCCAGTGCAGACCTGTTAAAAAGGCAGCTTATCAGGATATTTTGCTGAGTTAATCTAGGCAAAAATCCACATTTCTCAAGAATTCAGGATTGGCTAAACAATCCCGAGTACCTGAAAGACAGAGGCCTCTGCTCAATCTAAGGGCACTGGTGGTCACCTGCTCTTACGGTGAAGCTAACAGAGGCAAGCCCAGAGCCACGGGAATAGCCAGTGAGCAGAGGCTGCAGGAAACACTGGACACCGGTGTCTTGGCCTTGGTGACTCAGCTAGCGGACTGACCAGAGCACCTTCTCTTTACAATGATAAGTAGACAATGGATAAGGTCCCTTCTAGCTTGAAAATTCAATCACACTGTGATTTAGTGATGCTAAGAGAATGGTTAATAGTCTTAAGGAATCCCCAAATAAGTCCACTCTGGAAAGAATAAAGTGGTCTTTAAAAACATCACCAGGCCAGTGGCCCAGATGGGAGATGCAAGGGAAATACATGAATATAACTAACTTCAAAGATGAGGGCAGAACAGGAGGCTCCAGGTGCAGCAGCAGGAATGAGCTGAATTTATGGGGCTAGGAGGCCAGCTTAATGGACAGAGTACAGTAAAATCACGTGATGACGGATTAGCAGCCAAATAGAAGTCAACATGAAAAGTGGTTGCTGCTGCTTTATGTTTTGATCCCATCAGGGCTATGATTGGGTTGACACAGTACATAAGAGTTTAGAATTTAAGAAAAAGTGCAGATCTTGTTTGGATTCACTCTCTCCACTGGTACAAAGGCAGAAGAGAGAAAGCAACACATGCTACCAGTTACAGGGTATCAAGGAATCAGACGAACCACTCTGACTTCATCCGTAAAATGAGGGCCATAATACTACCTTCCTCGAAGGGTGATGATGACCTAACACTCAGAGCATGCAAGCTGGTGCCCAGTAGAGTGGCTATTATTATTATTTATTCTTATAACACAATGCCGAAGCTCCAAAAAGTCTTGCAAGGCAGTCCTGAATGGAGAGGCACTCAGTTTTCCAAGAGATTCTTTTTTTACCCCTCTCTCGGCATTTTGCCTTTACCTTTCTTATAGCACTTGTCCATTTAAATTTTAATTGTTTGTGGGATGAGGTGAAAGTGAGGTTATCTGTATGCACAATGTTGCTTCTTTTCTAATTTATTTTATTCTCTAAGGCTTTAGCTCTATGGGACTTATTTTTTTAGTTGAAAGATATTTGACATATAACATTGTGTAAGTTTAAAATGTACAACATATTGATTTGATACATTTACATATTGCAATATGATTGCAATTGTAGCATTGGCTAGTACTTCCATCACAAAATTATCATTTTTGTGGTGGGAAGAATCAGGATTTAGTCTCTTAACAAGTATTGTTGTCTATAATCACTGCACTGAACATTAGATCTCTAGGACGTACTCATCTACCAGTTGTAACTATGTATCCTTACACATCTCTGCTACTCACCCCCTGCCCCGGTCCCCACCCCTGGTAACCACCACTCTACTCTGTTTTACAGGTTCAGCTTTTTTAGATTTCACATATAAGTGATATTATACAGTATTTGTCTTTCTCTGACCTATCCCCCCTAGCATAATGCCCTCAAGGTTGAATTGTACATATATAGTATATATGTAATATTTATCTATATATCTATATCTGCATCTACTCACATCATCTTTAGGCACACCTCCCTCTCCTGGTATTTAGGTTGTTTCTCTAGAGAACCACAGAATTCTTAATGGGAATATTTATTTAACCCCTGAGCTTTGACTTCTTATTGGCCTGACCCCATGGGACCAGGGCATCTATTAGCCAGACATTCTGAGAAAACACACTTAAGAAAGCTCACCTGGAGGCAGAAGAGAAGGATTCTGGAAGACAGACTTCTGATTCCTCGTCCATCTTTAAGACACTGTTTGGGTGGCATCCTTTCTAACCTTTTGGGGGATAGAAAACGACGGAGAAACTGATAAACAATAACTGGCCAAAGCCCCCAGTAGCCTGAATGTCTGAATCCAAAAGGCTCTGGTTTTTCTCTACATTTTTATTGAAAAGAGGCAGGTAGGGTAGAGGTCTGGTGCTTAGAAGGAGAAACGGAGTTAACCTATTCAAGACCCTGGTGTCTTTCTCTGACCAATATTCATGGGTGGGGTAAGGCTGGCCATTCATTCAGCGAGACTGGAAATATAAATTAGTACAGTCTTCGTGGAGAACAGTTTAATATTAAGAATTAAGAACTTTTAAATATGTATTTTAAAATATTTTTTCCTTTGGACCTTTAAAAAATGAAAATGGTTACATTTTGGTATACCGATATAAGGTTAGCGTAGAACCACAACAAATGATGTGTTCAAGACGTGGGAAATGTTTATAAGCTATTAAGCACAAAAAAGCAAGATATCAAATAATTTGCACGGAATTATCAGCTACAAAAAGAAAAGTACACACACAGCCACATGTGAAGCGATACCCCAGCACGTCGAGTGTTTGCGGGTAGTGGCCTCACGGGTGCTTCTTCTTTTCTTTTTGGTCTAATTAGTCACACTTTTCTGTACTTGCCACAGTTTCTACAGTAAACACGTATTACTTTGATTATACGGTGGCAGGCCGAGGTTGAAACCGACCTCAAATATCCTCTGCTTCCTTCCCAATTCTTTGAGTCAGGTTAGTCTCCTCCCTTTTGAAACTGCTGAAGCCTCCGCAGGGCCCCGCAGGCACCCACACGAGCTCCGGGAGGCTGGAAGGAAGATTCGAG